GGCTCTGCTCCCAGGGAAGGTTGGAGAGACATGTTCCCAAACACATCCCCCTATCAGCAGATCCCTTCCCACAAAAGGCACTGTAGAGAGAAAGTGCCTTTCTGTTTCATCTTCAGAAGAAACAGAGCTGAAAGAAGGGGCTAGGAGTGGGCAGAGAACAATGGTGGTGAAGTAGAGACGTATGGAGAGTGGGGGAGGAGCAGCACGAGAGAGTACAAAGAATGTGCCAGGAGAACAGGCGGGCACAGGGAAGGTTTAAGGGATTCAGAAGACTCATGCACCGATTTGAGAGTCACCATCCATGAGCAGGGGGGATCTCAAGCAATGCAATTGCTCCAAGCCTCCAGTCCCTTCATCTGTGAAATTCTGGGATCATGAAGCTGGCTTCACTCTCTGCGATTTCCTTCAGAGAAAGCACAGCGGCTTTTCTCCTTTATTCCAGGTACAGGCACCCTGCACAGTCGCACACTGCAGGTTCTCGTTTGATATTTGTGCATTACAAGAAAGGAGAAAGGATGAGCAATCACTTTATAAACTGTAAAGTCCTGGGCAGATGGCAGGGCTGCCTTTGTTTCTCAAGACAGACTGGGGAGCTTCTGAAGGGGGAATACTTTCTTCCTCACTTTGCCTTTCCAGCCCCAAGTCAGTGTCCTGAATTCACTCAACCCAAGAAAACGTTCGCCAAGCATGTCCTATGTGCTGTCAAAATGCCAAAAGCTGGAAGCAGACAGAGAACAAGACCCAGACCCTGCAATCCAGGGGAGGAGAGCTGATGTTCAGGAAAGTGAAATGCTGCTTCTGGAGACAGAAGAAATGCCCTCAGGGAGAGGATCAGACTTGACTATGCCAAAGCCCAGCCTTTCCTGAAAACCATAATGATAATCAACACCCATAGTGACAGCTGCAGAGGGTGGTCACCTGTGTGGCTGGCTGCTATGTGAGCTGGACTGAAAGACACTCAGAAATGCTTTCATTTTCAGGGCTTGGCACAGCCACAGCCACTGCTCCCCGCTTGGGCCTAGCTCATTACAGGCATCACAGAGGAAGCTCCGTATCTGTGGGTGTGACGGTGTATGATCACTGAAAGATGTTATCAGAAGAAAAAAAATTAGGCACATTTTCCCCTAGACTTACTAATCCTTCCTCTGCAATTACCCTCATGTTTTGACATTAATTGAACTCTGTCTTTACTACTAAAAATAAACTCCAGGGCAATTGCAATGCACCAAAAACCTCAATATGAAACCACAAGAAACAGTAATAGAGAAATGGGCCAATACCAAAGGTGTTTTGAGAAGATATTTCTGTTTCAAGTGTAGAGTTCCGAGTGGGCCGAGAGTTCTTTAAAATCCTGTGGACATCAAGTACAGGAAGCAATCTTTACACACACACCTTGTGGCGAAAGACTGATGCCGGCTTGTATCCCTTGACAGGGAAGCGGGAGCCTGCTGATACGGTGTCAACAAAGGCCAGGGGGCCAGCATGGCCAGTGTGGCAGTATCAGGCAGGGAGCCAGCAGATGACACCAGGGGGAGGCAAGGCCAGGAGAGGAGTCCAAAAGAGCAAGTGAGGGTCTAAAGGGAAGAAGCCCATGCTGTCTGCATATGCAGGGAGTGGGGCCAGGGGTGAGCAAGAATGACACTGAGAGGGTCAGGAGCTAGACAGGTCAGGAGCTGGAAGGAGAAACAAACAGGCTCCCATTCATTGCCCATTTCCTCGGGCAAGGTTCCGTCATCCTCACAAGCAGACCAAGTGGCTTCTGGTCCATGATGTGGCTGGGAAAATTGAAGTCTGGCTGGGTGTGTGGTGTGTGCCTGTAGTACTAGCTACTCAGGAGGCTGAGGTGGGAGGATCGCTTAAGCCCAGGAATTGGAGGCTAGCCTGGGCCACATAGCTAAGTCCCTGACTTTAAAAAAAAAATTTTTCTTTAATTTTTATGTGTGTTTTGAGACAGTCTTGCTCTGTCGCCCAGGCTGGAGCATAGTGGCACGATCTTGGCTAACTGCAACCTCTGCCTCCTGGTTTCAAGTGACTCTTGTGCCTAAGTCTCCCAAGTAGCTGGGATTACAGGTGTGTGCCACCATGCTCAGCTAATTTTTGTATTTTTAATAGCAACAGGGTTTCACTATGCTGGCCAGGCTGGTCTCGAACTCCTGGCCTCAAGTGATCCGCCCACCTCAGCCTCCCAACACGCTGGAATTATAGGCGTGAGCCACTGTGCCTGGCAAGAATTTTTTTTTTTTTTTTTTTAAGAAAGAGAGAAGTTTGACAAGCTGTAAAAGACTCGCCTAGAGTCACATAGGCAGTGGTAGGTGGAGCCTGCGGTAGACCCTAAGTGTCTGGCTCTGTTCCTGGTGCCTTTGCTGCATGGCAGGCAACAGTCCTGACTCATGGGTGGGAAAGGTGAGGATGCCCTCCAATCGGTGTGCGTCCCAGCCAGGCTGATTTCTAGGCAGGTACAGACAGGCAGGCTCCCAGTGCGAGAAGTGCCTTTAGGTCAAGTAGAACTGCGGGCACAGACGCAAATGCCTGGGCCTTTCTTCAGGTTCTGTCATAGAACAGACTGCCTGAGGCTGTGCTCAGGACTGCGGGCCTCAGAAACCCAGCACTTGCCCCTGTTCTGTCTTTCTGCTCCCAGCAGCTGAATTCTAGGGAAATGTCTCTCCGTCACCCCACCCTGAGACAGACCTGCCAAGTTTTTGGCTTTCAGATTCTCTGCCACATGACTGAGGTCCCATCAGCCTTCTTCCCCAATATGTGAATAGCTTATTCCAGCCCTCCAGGTGCAACAGGGCATGGGGATCAGCTGGAAAGGCTGCTGCCCCTGTACGCTCTCCTGCTCCCTAAGCCTGCATCAGGAGCATTGGCTCCCAAGACATAATTCAATGACTGTCCCTGAGGGTCAAAAAGAGCTACAAGGCCGAGGTGGGTGGATCACGAGGTCAGAAGATCGAGACCATCCTGCCTAACACGGTGAAACCCCGTCTCTAATAAAAATACAAAAAAATTAGCCGGGCGTGGTGGCGGGCACCTGAAGTCCCAGTTACTCGGGAGGCTAAGGCAAGAGAATGGCTTGAACCCGGAAGGTGGAGCTTGCAGTGAGCTGAGATTGCGCCACTGCACTCCAGCCTGGGCGACAGAGCAAGATTCCATCTCAAAAAAAAAAAAAAAAAAAAAGGCTGCGTAGGGCTCCCAAAGAAGGTTTGTCAGCTGTAGACATTGTAGTAGCAGAAGTGAGAAATTCAACAATGAAATGAAAATGAATGCATAATATGAATGCACAAAGGTGCTGAGCTCTAAACAACGGAAAGCATTTTTAATTGCTAAACAGCACCTTGGCTCCCAGTGTGCTTTATTGACAAGCATCTTTCAAGAGCCACAAGAGGCAGCACCTGCTCCAGGAAGTCTCCCTGCATGGAGAAAGTCCCCTCCACCATCCTTACATACACCTAGGGAGTATGGAGTATCGTATGTGTGCCAGTCTCCCCACCCTGACTGAAGGGCAAGGCCTCATGCTCTTCACCTCTGCCTGCCACAGGAATACTGACTATCACAGCAGATTTGAAATGCAAATGCGCTTTTGAAAATTTAAGGCACAATACAAAAGATGATATATGTAGCACAACAGGAGTACAGTTCTCTGCTATGTCCTCAGTTCTGACTTCTCTGTCTTCTCACCAGTCCACACCTTCTCACCCACCTTTCCACCCTTGCATAACTTTCAAATTCGTGATAGGAATCACGTCAGTTTCCTTTTCATCATGTCGTTTATTCTTTCCAACATCTTACTTAAAAAAAAATTGCAACTGACCTCATTCTTTCCTCTGAACCTTTAAAAAACTTTCTTCTTTTGGTTATTTCTCTGTCCCTTTTTCCCTCTCCTTTCAATTACTTATTCATTTGTTCTTTCACCCTGGGTCAGGCATTATGCCAGATCTTGGGATGTGTAAGACAGTCCTTGCTCTAAGCAATTTCACCAGCAATAGGAGGAATGGGCAGGGGAAGGGGCAAGGGACATTTCAATCCAGTGCAGTAGGCATGGTATAATGGAGCCATGTCTTCACTTGCCCACTGCTGTCCAGTGGAGGAAGTAATCGACTCTGCTTTGGGTGAGGGGCTGCGCACAGCTGGGAAGGTGATTCTCAGCTGTTTCCCAGGCTGACTTGGTGATAGGTGAAAGACTGGGGGGACAGCAAATGAAAGACTTCAAAATAACCTGGTACATGGAAGGAATTCTAAATGGTATAATTGATGAATAATTTGCAAAAACTCTCTTGCATTTTGGAGCATTTCTTCCTCAGTGCAAGGCAGCATGCTATAAGCTGTTTTTCTCCAATATCTCATTCAACACATACAATATCTTCATGAGGTAGGCACTAATACCATCCCTATTTTACTAATGAGGAGATCAAGGCTTTGAGAGGCTGAGTGACTTGTCCAAAGGGAGGCAAGTAGCAAAACCAAGAAAACCCAAGTCTACTGAAGCGTTCAGTCTTAAGCTCTAACCCTTTACCCCCTGCACCCTCCGCCTTAGTGTGGAAGGAGCATGGAATTCAAGGAGGTGAAAGGAGGAAGCACAGATTGGCTTGGAAAGGAGGAAGAGCTCATGTTCTGGATGTCCTGAAGGTGTTTCAATCTGACTATACAACCCTCACCCCACCTTTTCCTCTTTTCCCCAAGGCTGTCTCCACATGTTTTTGCAAGACAGCTGGAGCATCCTGCAGCTTCTGCTACAAGTGGGGCATTCACTAGGAGATGGTGGGCTCCTCCCTCCACTAGGGACAGAGGGAGAGCTTCCTAGGCACAATGAATAAGTGGACTAGACTCTGAGAACCAGGTCAAGGTGAGGTTACGGGGAGCCAGCTTCCCAAGCACATTGGAGTGGCACAGGAAGACACGCCGAGAGGTCAAGAACCACAACCCAGGTTGTGCTGCAGGAGATCATCAACTCCAAAAGCTATGTTTGGTTTCACAAGGATCAGGAGGATGAAGTCCCTTACCTTAATTCTCCAATCTCAAAATACTCCAGCTTTAGTTCAGGTAAGGACAATTCTCAAGTCCATCCGGAGTGCCGAAGGGATATGTTTTTTCAGACTGAAAGTGCCTAAATCCCAGGTGTAACAGGATTCTAGGAACACATAAAAAAAGGATACATATTAATACTAATGTTTACCTTGAATAGATTTGGTAATGAGATGTTTCATTCATTTAAAAGATAAAGACTGCATATTTACTATACGCTGAATGAGGAGCACAAGAAGAGAAGACGTTTAATGAGCAATGTTTATGTGCCAAGCACTGTGTTAGGCATTTTATATACATTAAACCATTTAATCCTATGAGATGGGTTTTGATATCCCCCATTTCTGAAGTCACACAGGCAGCCAGGCCAGAAGTGATGGTTGGATCTTTCTGACTCATAAGCCCCTACCCATTAATCATGTTTCCCTCCCCTACTACAGCATTTTCATTCACCTTCTTCCAAGAAAACTAGGTAGAGATGAATAAGAAACATACCCAATAACTTCATTCTGAGAATGGCCGGTCCTTGGGTGCCCAGCCCATTTCATACACAGTGGGGATCCTGTGAGCCATGGAGGCTGCATCAGATTAACTTTGCTGTAAGTTTTATCTGAGCCCAACACTGTCATCTGGTAACATGTGTTCTGTGGCCTTCATGCATTATTCAGGAAACAAAAAAATGTAGCCCCACCAGAGATTCTCAACTGATCATCAGGATGGCTAGATGAGGTGGTCAAAAGGGGTGGGACAGTGTGGAGAATGAGGTCCAGGAGCCACCCTTCTACGCTACCCTGAAGCAGTGCCTCGTACTTAGCCTGGGGGTTCAGGCACTGACCTTCTCTGTCCTTCCAAGAACTGTGATGCTCCGGTGTGGCCCCCACAGAACACCCCATTTGTACATTTACAATAGGCTGCCCTTTTCCCTTTTCGGGCCCTCCACCCCCTATTCTTTGGCAGCCAAATCATGAATGAGATGAAGCTTAGTCAGCACAAACTCAGAATAAAGAACCCTGCAAAGTTCTGAAGGGGAATTTGCTCTTAACTCTGGAATAGCTGGTGAAACATCCTTGCCCCACAGGCAAGAACGCAGGGCGGGGGGCTTGTATTCCCCACTTGAATTTCCTCATCTCTCCCCGAGGAACAACTTGGCCATAAGTTTCTTCTCTGAGGCCCTCTGGTTGTCTGTCGTCTTCCTTCCTTAGATGTGTTGGTATCACGGATAGGCCTGCAATGGTTCTGCAAGCCTCAGAGTCCTCACCTCCTCCCATTCGGTGCTGGCTTAACGCATCCTGCACTCAGAGTCCAGTTCCCAGCAGCACAGAGTGAATTCCCCCTTACCCTGAAAAGTCCCCTTGACTAGCTAGGCCCGCAGAAAGATGCTGTCCTCAGCGCCTCTGGGCTCCCCAGTGAGCAGCCTCCCACACGCCTCAGGCATTGTGACTGGGAAAGCACTTTTAGCCTTATTGTCAAAATGCATTTGCTTCATTACCCAAAAAGAGCAGAGGCACAGCCTGCTGGTTGACGGTGGGCTCTTCTCAGGCTTCCTGGGTTGGCGTCCCAGTTCTGCTACCTAAAGAGACTTTTCAGGACCCTGAACAAGTACTCAAACGTGAGCTCTCTGGGCCTCAGTTTCTCATCTTAGAGGCTTGTTCCTGGTGTTAAGTGAGAATCTTTGCAGAGTTTAGCACTTGTCTCTGGATATTATAAGCCCATAGGCATGTCAGCTTTTATTAGTACCACTTAGGCAAATGCTAGAGACTTAAGTTCTTCCTCTCCTCCCAAGAGGAAATGAAAAGGCCTCCCCTCTCTCGATCTCGCCACAGTGACTTAGTGCAGGGGCTCAGCACATGGGGCCAAGGGAACAAATGAAGGCAGTGAGACTGGGCCAAAGCCTGGGGCTTCAGTCAAAGGTTCTTAGCTCCAGGCCTGGCTGCAACCCTCCCTTCCCAGTGTACTCATCTGTGAAAAAGAGTGGATTCAAACACTACCCGTCTGCCAGGTGCGCTGACAGGATTAAATGAGACAGTGCGTAAAAGAGGCACTCTGTAAACTACCAAGGAAATCCAGCTAATTACAACAACAGCGCCTTTACTGGCAAATGCTGTAGAGGACATTTCACTAAGGACTATTCTCCTGGGACCTCACTGAACACACACACACACACACACACACACACACACGCACACACAGAATCCCCAAGAAGTCAGGAGACAGACATACCCTTTCTTCCCATTTTACAGATGTGGAAACTAAAGTTCAGAGGAGCTAAGGAGGCTGCCTGACACCAAGAGACAAATCCACAAATACAGGGCTGAAGTGTCGGTTTGCAAGCTGATGTCCTCTCCTCCCTCCCAGGGGCTGGGAAGAGGGGATTGCAATAACCCAGCATGATGGCTCCTCCAGAAAAAAGACCCTTTTTCCAAGGCAGCCAAACTGCTTAACGTTTTTAATTAATGTTTTTAGCCACACACACAAAACAATGTTCCATGGAAATTAAAGAAATTAAAATTTCTAAGCTTCTCCCAGGAGCTGCCAAGAATCCTGGGCAGACCGGGGTGTTTGCAGGCCAGTGCAAAGCAGAAGGTCATAGCCCCACCTGAAAACGCTGAACCTGCTCAGCGGGGGTCACTGCCCACCCACAGAGTGACAGGCCACTAGGAGAGAACTCGCTCAGAAATATGCCAATGCCAATAATCGGTGGGAGAAGCAGGGAGTGAAGAGGAAGGTCTGACGGGAGGTGCTGGAGCCTGGGACTGAAGGGACAGGTGGCTGCCCCCAGATTTTCTGGCTATCCTCCCACCTGACACAGTTCTTAAGGATGGGATATCCACCTGCTGTGTCACTGACTGAGGTACCTGCACCTGATGTGGCCAAGCAAGCCATGGGCTTTCTAAGGACACTGACAACATGTCCCTGATGTCGCCTGGGACCACAGAAGGTCATGCTGGGCCCAATGCTGTGCTCTGATGTCTGAGGAGCCTGAATGCCAAGGCCAGGCAGACTCAGGATCTCCGAGGCTCCCAGGAGGTTCGGGGCAGAGGTGTGCTCTGTGTTAACATCTGTTCTCCTCTCTGCCAGCACAATATCAAGCAAGCCAGAGTTTCAGATCATCCATTCCTCTCCACAGGCCAAGAGGCAGGGTCGTATTATCTTTCTTCTCCAACCGGAAGGTGAATTGCACAGGGGCTAGGTAACCTGAACAAGGACAGACAGTCCCACATGTAAGGCAGGTCTCTGTTGGAAAGACGGAGAGACCCAGGGTATAACACACAACATTGACTAATCACCAGCTCCGCTACCAGCAAGGTGACTCATCCTGCACAGCTGCTGGCCTTGGATGCCACCAGAACGTGGCTCAGGCAGTGGGGCCAACTGGGTGGGCAGATGACAGTGAGGACTAGTCACCAAGGGCTAGGGTAGGAGCCCTTGGCCACTTGGCAGGAGACAGTGAACTAGCTTCAAAATGAGCAGCAGCACTTGGGTTCATGATGTAAAAATCATCAAAACACCATCGCCCACTGAAAATAGACCACGGAGGTAGACTATGGTACCTGAAGGAGCTACAGATGGCACACAGTGGAACTGTTTTCCCTGGGAAGCTCCTGAGTGCAAGCTCCAATTTTGGGATATGTTCTTTCCCTCTGGAGAAGGCCCCATAAAAGGACATAGAAACAGATACTCCTTCTCACAGGGAGTCAGCAGAGCCTGGCCCCAACGCTTGCTAGATTCAAATCCAGCAGGTTGAGCATGGGGTGCGGGGCTGGGTGGGAAGTGCACAGTCTGCCCAGCTCTGAGCCGGTCCCCGCCAGTTAGGAACTGTGTCAACATGGCAAGTCAGTCGAGCCTCTCTGGTCTTCATCTGTAAATCAAAGGATTTAAAAAAAAAAAAAAAAAAAAGCAGCTACTCAATCAGGCACAGTGGCTCACACCTGTAATCCCAGCACTTTGGGAGACTTAGGCAGGAGGATTGTTTGAGGACAGAAGATCGAAACCAGCCTGGAAGGCTGGGCACAGTGGCTCACACCTGTAATCCCAGCACTTTCGGAGGCCGAGAGGGGAGGATCATGAAGTCAGGAGT